AAACTGCATATTACAGTGACCTGAGTTGTCATATCAGCTCCTGCTCCAAAAATTATCTCCAATCAATTAAACTTATGTGGACCAATGCTTTCAAAACTGGTGGCAGTAAAGTTACATGTGATAGTCCTAAATCTCAGGCTGCTTAGATACCATTGAATGGACAAATAACTGCCTCSACTTTCAAAACATTAATTACTGGCTGTTTGCACAGCGTTCCCAGGTGCTTGTAATAAAAGTGTCACGGCCATACTCAGGAACCCAGTAGGTAAAAGAAAAGCCTTTACCCTGTCCTTTGGTGCTGCATAGTGAACATAAAAGGACTTTTATTTTGTAAGTACTATTTTAGGACTAGTAAGTACTATTTTAGGACTAGTAGTCCTAAAAAATCATCTAATAGAATGATGATTAGAAGAATAGCAGATTTATCTAACGCCCTACACTCCCCAGAGGCAGCCCCACTTTCCTCAGAGGTCTTCTCTTTCTGTACCTTTTAAATAAATCCCAGGGAGTTTGAAGAGGCAATCCACTGGAACACATCACTTCTGTTGGTGTCATTCTCAGACCACACATTCCTGAACATCAAAGCCTTATTTGCCAGGCAACACTTCCACCCCCTCCAACATACACCACAACAGCATTCTTCCTGCAAACAGTACATACTTTCCCAGCATAGTGAATGATGCTGAAACCCAAAACACGGCCTCGGACTGGCTGGAAGTGTAAATTCCCCTTAAARCTGCTGTTTAGTTTATCCACAAATGTCTTATCAGTTGCCTGCAAGAGAGTAGATTTCATAAGCTGCAACAGAGACCTAATGAGAACACATGGAATTAAAACAAAGTGTTGGAAGTATCCTTGGCTGTGCAATAATCTTTTTTCTCTCTGATTCTTCACAGGGATGCCAATGCCACTAGACAGCCCCTGACCAGGATGTCCTGTCTCATAAGTCACTTATGGGGACACCTCTGCTTCTCCTGCACTCCAGCCTAAGATCTCTCTCTGTAGCCCAGATATCCATGAATATATTAGCCTCGAGAGTGTTTTCTCTGCCTCCTCTCTTATGCATACCTGAGGGAATGCACTCTGCTCATCCAGAAGAGACAGCAGCCCAAGTGGCTTGGCCAAGAGCAGATTCTGCAGGAAAGGAGACACAAGACACATGTCTGAAGCAGTGCAGGGCATCCTCTCTCACCCTCACCACCCTCTGCAGAGGTTCTTCCCAGGTGCATCTCCTCTCCATGACAGAAAGAACAAGGGTTCTCTCTTGGCTAGACACAGAAAAACTATCAGTCAGTCCTCTCACTCACCAGAATAGGTTCATTATTGTTGAATGTGATGGTCTCCCAAGGCAGCCCTTCTTCCTTGTAGGCAGCCTGCTCCAGCTGGAAAATGTGCTGAAATAAAGGAAAAGGAGGYTGAAGCACCCASCAGACTTGGCCAGACAATCCTTAAYGTCTTCCTTCYTGCCCTGAACAGARGACAGAGGCGTTGGCACACTCAGCCACAGCGTGAGAGGTCCGAGACRAAAGATGAAACTGCTGTTCTCTGTGACTCTCTGTRRCCCTGGCACTCACTGGTGCATAAAGCAGGAACAGTTTTCAGAGTGCAAGTGACCCTGCTCTAATGACTTTGGTTACTGCTTGATCCTTCTACCTGTTCCTTTCCTGTCCCACTGGCTGCTCTGACCCAGCAGGCAAGGTTGGTGCTCTCTATTCTCCTTCACTGATCACTATTTCTGTYTTTCCAGGCAATAGATCTGTTTTTCCCCAAAAAACTTCCCTTCCCAGATAGAGCAGTGCTCTGCTTCCTCTGCAACACAAGGTGAAGCAGACCTCAGCTCACTTACATGGTTGAAGAAATGCTGCAGCTGCTCATTGGCCAAGTTTATGCAAAGCTGCTCAAAACGATTCACTGCGAAGTTTTCAAACCCAAAAATATCCAAGATGCCTAAAAAAAAGGGAAGAAGAGCACATTATGGAACCTGCAGACCATTCCTGAAGATTACTTTAAACACCAACACACAACTAAATCTCTTATCACCAGCTCCTTTGGCACAGGGAAAATGCAGACAAGAGGGGCAGTGGTGGAAGCTGTGGAAGAGCTCTACAGCCTCACAATAATTGCTTCAGACGCAAGTGACTGCTCAGAGTTGAAGAAAGCCCTACAGACTTCATGCAGCTGACTCTTATCTCCAGCAKGATCATGGTTCTGATAACGTATCTCAGCAGGCAAACTCTGTGAAACYTCCTGCTGTGCCTGTCCTTTGCGGCTGAGGGATGCACATTTGAGAACAGAACAGGAGCAATGCAGGCAGAACTCACCTATCTCCCTCAGCTCCACCTCAGGATCCACATTCTCAGCCAGCAGCTCATTGATCTTGCAAACAATCCAGCCAAACACTCGGCCATAGGCCACCTTTGCGATGGAGTCCCGAGCATCTGCAGAGGGAACAGCAGAACCTCACTGAAGGGCGCACAGGAGAGCAAGGGATTGGACACACGAGCTGGCTCAGTATATACACTTCTAGCAACAATGTCTGTACAAAGTTACTTTAAAAATCAGATAAACATTAGATACCACTCTGATTGTCCCCACCTTTTGCAAATGTAAAAACAGCTCTTTAATTCCAAAACCTTCACAAACTTTCTACATCACACATGGAATACCAGGGCATTTTTGAGTCGGGCCACTTTTTAGAATATCCAGACACTTGCTTTCCCCTCTGAAGGTCTGCCGAGTATGGATCCCCTCACTGCTAAACTAAGGGAGAAGCTCCAAATTTTACTTCAAAAATTGGTTGTTTGTCTCCCTCCTAGCCCACGGTTGCTAAGTGTTTAAATGCTGGAGGCAAGCAGAGGACTCAATTGCTGGAAAGCTCGCTGACATTCTAAGAAGGAGACTGAGTTTACGTGACCAATGATATGAGATGTGTATTTTATTGTCTAGAGAAATTTGTAAAACAGAAGTAGCTAATCCCATTTAATTTTCACTTTCTTTTAAAATTTATTTTAAGAAATAAATTTATTTAAGAAATAATCTCTTTTTAATTAGTTTTAAAAATACTGAAATAAAAAATATTGTAACTGAAACTTTTGGTATAGTTTATTTTATTTTCTTGTTTTATTGAAGGGGAAAATACCACCTTGTACTTGCTATTTTATTATTTTCACTCCATTCCGGATATTGTGACATCTCATAGCTCTTGCTGTTTCTCTGTCTATTACCTAGAACTCTGCACATTGCCAGCACCCTGCAACAGGAGCCTTCCCCTCCTCTGCACAAATACCCAAAGCTTCYTCCTGGGAAGGACTGAGGGAGAAAGCAAAGCTAATTCCTTGGTTTCTCGTTTAATCTCTGCAGCCTCCTGGAGATCAAACAAAAGCAGCATTCATGGCCCTACAAGTCAGTAAGAGACTAAACAGATAAACACTGACATACTTGCCTCTGTGTGAGAGGAATGAAGAGGCACAGAAGGACATCTTTGTTCCCAATAAGCTGCATATGTGTGGGGATACCTTTCCATCAAAAACCGTTTTTTCTAGCCAGCACATCTGCAATTCATTGTGTTCCCTACCTTCCGCCTGCTGCTGGGTGTGAAAACGCTGGATCTGCTCTCCTCGGGTGACTGAAGTTGTACAAATCAGGCATTTTAACAGCTCGTCTTCCTGGACTCCAAACTGACCCTGGGAAACAGGAAACAGACCAGGACAGTCAGTTGAAAACCCCCACTCTGCTGATGGGGATTGYATGTGTGTGTGACAGGGTCACGATTTAGGCTCAGGCCTTTGAGCCCCACTGAAAGGCAAGCGCTGCTGCTGGCACGGAGTCAGATGTGGGCTCTGATCTGCTCCACCCCTGCAGTGACCAGCCTCACGAGCTCGATCTCAAACACTTTTTGTTTTGTTCTCCCTGTGCTGCCACCTTTCACCTTCTTCTGGAGCCACTCCAGTCCCCGCTGAGTGGTTTAATGACTTATTGAACAGCACCACACGGAGGTGACTGTGCAGGTGCCAGAGCATCTGAGCTTCAGAGTCACACGAACCCACACGAGAGGCAGGGAAAAAAGCAAACTCAGACACACCGAACYCCTCAGTGATTTAACAGGAATTCCCCTCCTGTGGGCAAAAAATAAGGAGCAGGCTTTCAAAAGTAAAGATAAAAAGAAGTTGGCTGCTGAACAGATGTAGGTGGTTGTTTCAGGTATGGTGTAGGAGGGAAACAGTCAAAGAGATGGAAGGGAAACCAAAGAACGGGGTGCTGGGATTTCAAACAGATCAAAACAAAAGGAAATAGAAAGGGGAGGAATATGTTACTTTTTTCTGTTCTGTGTTGTTAACAAAGCAGGATAATGTATCCATCCCACATAAAAAACACAAAATGGTCCTGGAAAATATACCACATAATCTGTGGTAATTTCATGCAAAATAGTAGAAAGCTTAATTCAAGATAACCAACAAAAAAATGAGAGCACTGAGAGTGAAATCCTTGAACAAAATCCAATGAAAACACAGAATTAGTGTATAGATATTGCACTCCTGAATTTCTCCAAGGCATMATCACACTTAGTAACACAAAACATTTAGTTAAAGAAGATTGTGTATGAGGTTAGCAAGGAGTATGATGACTGTGTAAAACACGTGTTCTAGACATCCAAGAAATAGAAGCTGAGACRTGTCTCTTTGGATATGAATAGTAGTGAACACAAATGCAGTCATGGGGTCAAACTGTACATTTCAAGAAAAAACCCTAGCCCTTTAGAAGCCTTCACACTCTGAGGCAGAAACATCCTCTGTCATCTCTGGCAGGAACAGCTCCTGCAGTCACACAGCCAGTGGGGAAGAGCATCATACCCACAAGGTTTCTGTCAACATTCCTTGTGACTCACCGCTGCAGCCTTCAGCCATCCCCGTGAGGCTTCACTGACTTTTACAGACCCATCGCTCTCCTCAGGCTCAAAGGTCACATTTCCCAGAGACAACACACCAGCCAAGATAGCCTGCATGTCCACCTGCTCCTAAAACACAGAAGAAAGGTGATGAAAAGCTTACCAGCATGTAGACTGTACAACACAGAGGACCCAGAAGTTGGAGAGGTTAAGGGAAGAGGCATAGACAGCCTGTGGGAAAGCTCTCCACAAAGTCTGGCAGACTCAGGTGRTCTGAAAGTGACATAGAAAATCTAGAGGAAGGAATAGGACTGAACTTCAAAAGAGCAGCTAGAAAGAAACTATGCCTGCAGGAAGCACAGATGGAAATTAAACGACCCCAGGACTAACCTGTTCTTGGAAGCCCACCATGTCAAGGGCATTGCAAACCTCTCGGTATTTGTGCTTCCAGCATTCAGCTACTTCCTGTGTACCAAATCGTCCACTTATGTACCTGAGAAAGTGCATATCCCATATAAAACTTTCATACTATCAGTACTGTAACTCATGGACACAAAGCAAATCACCAGCAGTGGAGACACAAAGGGGGCAGAAACCATTCCAAGGTAATGCAGCAGAGATCCCAGACCTCCCAGCTTCCATGATGATCCATAATATCTCTTCATGTAGCTTTGGATCCCACTCCAGCTTCCACTTACCCACAGATAAAACCCCAAGGCAGAGCCGAAACTCTGTTGTGCATCGTTATCTCCTTCACCACCCATCCAGAAGATTAAACTAGGTCTGCCTTTGACATACCTGTAGAGTGAAGGATCCAATAATCCATACATCTCCTTCTGCTCTGAAGACAGTCCAGCAAACATGTAGTAGAAGATGTGGAAATTCCTCTCCCCAGTATCTTGTTGCACCACCCGTGATTTCTCTAACAGGTACTCGCTCAGCTTTGCACCTTGCACTGCACACAAAAAGGTGACAGGATGAGGAACTTCACTCTGGGGGACATGAAGCTGCCTGAGCTGTCCTACATCTCTTCTTTGGTGACAGAAGTGCAGAATTGTCTAAATTAACTTTCTTGTGTGCAAGGCACTCTAGGCTTCCTAGCACACTGGAAACGGCCCTCTCCAAGTTTCCTGTGGTCTTAAGAGATTTCTGTTCATCACTTTTAGCAGAACCTAAGGCCTCTGGCATTACTGAGTATTAATGATACTCACCCTACAGTCTCACCCTGATACCCTTTCCTCTAATCCCATTCTGTTCTAACCAGGCCTAATCCTATCCAGGTCCTATCCAACAGTGGCTGCTGAGATTTTACTCAATTGCACACCCTTCCCACAGGGAGCCACATGCCACAATTTTACCCTCCATAAATCCAGGCTACTCAGTCCACTCCCTCCAGTTCCTAATCACTCCCCAGGCTAGCAATCACCCTTGACTTTACCTGTATTTTTCTGGAAACGCAGCTGTATGTATTTTCCRAAGCGGCTGCTGTTGTCATTCATCACAGTCTGGGCATTGCCAAAAGCTTCAAGCAATGGATTCACCTAAAACAAGCAAGGAAGCAGAACAACTATTCTTCAGATTAAGAAATCCAATCTAACTTACTTGGAAAAAAATTATCTTTAGCACTTGCTATTCAGCATTCAGCTGGAAAAGGAACCACTCAATGAATATGGAAGAGCATCTATTTTATCTCTGACTAGATAAAGAAATTCAAAAAAGTAAGTATCACAAAGACTAAGCAGCATGAGATTAATGACAATCAGTACAAACTGATGGGATCTCAGTGAGATCATTGAGTCATTTGYTATAAGATAAGGTTGGTATAACTGATTTCCACACAGTATCTGCTGTTGTTAGATAATTTGAGTGCTATACTACAGCAATAAACAAGGTTAATGTGGCACTCAGTTAATGCAACTATGACAGCTTAGCCACTGAAATTTGTAGACATAAGGACAGTGAATTATAAAGAAATTAACAGAACTATCAGACCAGCTTGCCAAGATGGATGCAAAGGTGGCAAAATGATAACTCTTACGTATCTGAGCAAAGAATGCCTGTCCACTGGAAGAATAATGCCTCAGGGTAGAGCTGTTGAACACAGCTTTAAGGTATGACACTGCAATCCCACGCAAGTCATCTGAGCTAAAAGGAATGTTATTTCCTGTGAAGGAACCAGAGGCTGGCTCTAGGYGCTATGCTGAGCAAACTCAGCTCTCCTGCTTGTGGAACCTGCTCAKGCCAGAAGCAGCCTGGCAGTGTGGCCCAAGCCAGCTCTGAGCAGAGAGAGCAGGTGCATCAACGTCACATTCCCAAAACAGAGCACAGGCATTCACCTTGGATCCACCACGGATGACATCAAACTGAAATAACACACCACTGCAGAACCCAAAGCACAGCATGGGGCATTGGGTTTACCAGTCAATATTTTGGTTGCAGGAGGAGCTAGAGGTGGCTTCAGTGAGGCGATGCCAGACACTCTCCCTAAGTCCAACAGAGTCAATGGCAGCCAGCTCCAAGACAGATCTGCGCTGCCAAGGCTGAGCCCACCAGTGACAGAGGCAGTACCTCTCAGATAAAACCTGCTGCACACCCACTGAAGGGAGAGAGGAGTGAGAGTGTCTGAGAGGAGCAGCTCTGTAGACACAAGGTCAGTGCAGGAGGAACGGCAGGAGCTGCTCCAGGAGCCAGAGCAGAGATTGCCCTGCAGCCCCTGGTGAGGCTGCTGTGCCCCTGCAGCCTTTGGAGATCCCTGGGGAGCTGAGATCCACCTACAGCCCTAGAGGAGCCCACAACAGAGCAGGGGAATGCCTGAAGGAGGTTGTGACCCCATGGGAAGCCCTGCTAGCAGGACCTGTGGCCAGTGGAGAGGAGCCCATGCTGGAGGAGGATTGATGACAGGATTCATCACCCTGTGGGGGGCCCAAATTAGAGCACCCTGTTCCTGAAAGACTGCACCGTGTGCAGGGGATCCAAATTGGAGCACCCTGTTCCTGAAGGACTGCACCCTATGGAGGGCACCCAAATTGGAGCACCCTGTTCCTGAAGGACTGCACCCTGTGCAGGGCACCCAAACTGGAGCACCCTGTTCCTGAAGGACTGCATCACATCAAGGCACTCAAGCTGGAACAGTCTGTCCCTGAAGGACTGTCTCTTGTGGAAGGGATCCCATGCTGGAGGAGGGGAAGAACGTGATAAAGATGACAGTAGCACAGATAATGTGTAATGAAYCGACCTAAACATCCATTCCTTATCTGCTGGAGGGAAGAAGGTAGAGAAATTGGGAGTCAGTTGAGTCTAGGAAGAAGGGAGGWGTTGGGGAAGGTGTTTCAAGATTTGTTCTCATTTTTCATTATCCTGCTCTGAGATTAACTAGCAAGAAATTAAATTAATTTTCTYTAAATGGAGCCTTTTTTTGCCAGTGATGGTAGCTGCTGAGTGATCTCAAAATTCTTATCTCAACCCATGAGCCCTTTGTCATGTTTTTCTACCCCTGTCCAGTTAAAGAGGGAGGAATGACAGAGTGGCTCGGTGGGCACTGGTTAACGCACCACACACAGAAAGATCTCARTGTTTCTACAGGAAACATGGGAAGACAGACTTCAAAGCAAAGTAGTCCAAGAACTCACTCTTCTTAATCTATCACATGGAAGGCTTAAAGTATGATTTGTTTAAAAAAAAAACCTTACAACACCCTGGGGAGAAATCCAAGTGGAAATATTTCAGACTAAAGAGACAAATATGTTTCAAAATGAGCTGGCAAAGWTATCAGAAAAGAGCAAGGATGGCAGTTAGCCAGCTAGCAGGTATGTGCCTGGCACTCTAAGCAGCCAAGGAAAGGTTACTACAAGCCTTGWGAATTCTCCATCTCTGTGTACCATTAAAACAATATTTTATTTCTCTAATGAAAGTCCTTGTTCTACCTCAAACAGGAAATAATTTGGAAAAATGCCAGCAATCTCTTGTAACAGAGAACATTTAAAATGATTGCAATAGTTTTCTATAATTTAAGAATCATCTCCAGCTAGCAAAGTAACTGACCTACTAACCTTTCTAATTTGTGGTCAGCTATCTCACCATTCTTGTCCACTACTTTCTTCTGTGTCTTATGTGTGGCTCCCCGATTTCCAGCAGTGAATTGCCAGCAGGCCTCCTAAGCCTAAAGCAAATTGTCTTGCTTGTCTTGCAAGTTGCTTCTGCACCTTCAAGCACCATCCTGCAATGACCTACCTGAAGGATCTGCTGCTCCAGCTGTGAGTTGCCTTTGCACAGGTTCATTATGTGCTGCAATAACAGCTTCGTACTCTCTGTTTTCCCTGCACCACTTTCTCCACTGTCAAGAGAAAGCAAAATAAATTCCGTCAGCCTGAAYGTACAGTTTTGTTCTGTCCCTTATGGTTCAAGTGCTCCATTACTTGAGAGTCCTCTACAAGAGTTTCACAACTTTTTCAGCAAAATCACAGGTGTGAGAACAAACACACACACACCACAGCTTTACCCAGGGTGTCCCATGAGGTTCTGGTCYTTCATCAGGAATTTTTTCCCATCTGCAAGGAGTACAAATGTACCCCACACTGTCATTTCTGGATGAGATGCACCAGACAGATCATTTGCTCTGATTCAAAGGTCATCTGGTACCTCAACTCCCTCGCATATACTGGAGCTAACAGCTTCCTCTTTCTCCAGAGAGATTTGCCCCATCCACATCACATCCACAAATGGATACTGATGATGGGATGCTGTGGCAGTCTCAGATCGCGGGTGTTTCTCACATCCACGTGCCTCAGCTGGCTAGGAATGCAGGTGCAGAGCTGGCCACACTCCCACAGTGCCAGCAGTGCACGTCACTGTGCTGTCACACATCCACGTCACTCTACTGTTACATATCCATGGTGCCTCCGCCTCCAAATCAAACAGCCAGCACTTGGAAAGTGTAGTTTCCCCTGTTTTGGGAAGGGGAATTCACGATCAGTGAGACAAAATGTCCTTGATTGACAACATCACATCGTCTGAGAACTTCAGTGTATGCATAGGGGAAAAAAATCCAGGAAATGTTGGAGGTATACTTGAGGGCAGGTCTCTGTTTCGTTTGAGCTGACCTTTGAGCGTGTGGYGTGGCTTTACTGCTTTGTAACTCCCAGTGGCTCTGCACTTGGTATCAATTACGTGTCACAGGTGGMTAAAAATGTCAAATACTACAGCAGGTCCCTGATCCCAAGCACAGGTCAGACCAGCACCAAATATACAGAAACAAAATAAGACCATTTTGCCAGTTGAGAATATGCCATCCAGTGYCCCTGCTCAGTATGTCAGGTTTATTTTTATTTTTCAGTAACTTCCCTCCTCCACAAAAAAACKCTATCAAACAGCACTTCCATGTTTCAATCTTGTCCCTAGACCCTCCAACACGCATAGCAACTTCAGAAGGTCCTGCAAGCACAGCAGGTGTGTAACTTGCCCCAGCTGTGAACAAATGCAAAGTCATCTTCAGGTGAACCAGGTGCTGTACTGCAGCACACCCAGGCTATGACTAATGTCCTTTGGCACTGGGGAGGCAAGAGGAGCCAGTGGAATTTGTAGCTCAGGGCAATTTTGTAGCAAACACTTAACACCTGGCAGCAGCTGCTTCATCCAACATAAACTGCTGAAGCATGCTATCCAGACCTCCCAGACTCAGATGGTGACACTAAACAGACCACAAAGGACACCGGATTCTGCTGTGTCCCTGTGCTGTTGTGGTGAATTATGGAGTGGCAGGGGTGACCTCATCCTCCCCATTCATCCCAACTGTGCTCACYTCAGGGAAACTTGTCAATCAGTGGTGAAACACTAATTGAGAGGAAAACCACAAACTTCCTGTGAYAGCAGCACACAGGTAAAAGGTTGCGAGATGCACAGGAGTAAATCAGATTTATCTCTGAAGTGCTGACAGAAAACAGCCACACTACAGAAAACAACCAGACCACTGACTGTTTGGCAATTCTCAACAGGTTACTCTTTCTTGTCTTCCACCTCCCAAGACAAACACAATGACTGCTCTCTATTCTCTAGAGCCCTACCAGCAGTGCCTCTTGCACCTGACTTCATGGCCACTGCTTCCTGAGAGCACTTCATGTAAAGCACAGCCACCTTTCTGGCCTGGAGACTGCAAAACGAGTGGGGTTCAAGTGGCCCTTGAAGTCAGCTCCCAGTTCTACCAAAACAGTAGTGATTGAGTAATTCACTCCCATGCCACGTAGACTGAAATTACTGATATAGTGATCAGAAGGCAAATATAAAGGAGTATCAAATCAAACAAGCTGGCAATTAGCATTTTAACTGAGGCGACATTTAAACTGTTTTCTGCAACACCCAGTTGTAGAGCAGAGACAGCTAATATTTCAAGGCTTTCTCCTCGCTCTTCGATGCTTTCTCTGGGAGCTGATGTTGTTCGATGCTTTCTCTGCTAAATGATGCTACCGGCTGCCCTGCAGAGTTCCAGCAGAACAAGAGTGACAGCATGGAGTGAAATGTTTGTGATACTGGTATGCTCCTTGGTTAAAAAAACCCTTCTATCCCCACATCTATAGGGGAATACTGTCCATGACAATTGGATCCTCCCCGAAAAGACTCCCAAGTGTTTTAGAGCAAAAAAGCGTGTTTTAATTCCTCCTGCTCTTTGGTTACACATGGGAAACTCCACTTGGTGAAAACTGGTTCCTTCCATTACCGTCCYGCCAACTTCCACTAYCGCTTTTACCATGGCAGTTGTGCTGCAAATGAGAGCACCCGATGGCTTTGCCCAGAGCTGGTTAAATCTTTACAGTGTTAGGAATTCCCAGCAGCGAACCTGACAGCTTTACTGTTGTAAAGACTGCTGGCCGAGCTGCTCCACGAAAGCCACTTTTGYTTGTCCACACCTCCTCAGGACCTACCCACTCTCCCGTCGGGAAAGCGGTCGTGGTGAGGGATGTGTTTCCAGCGCAGTTGGATTTTAACTCGCCAACAGTACTGGATATGGCTTTCACCTGCACCTCGAGTGGGGAGAGCCCAGCGGGAGCTCGGGGGCCGCCCCCCGCCCCGGCCGGCCCCGGGACCCCCGCCCGCCGCTCACCTGATGAGGATGCACTGGTTGCGGGGCCCGCCGCCCCCGCGGCCCAGCATGGCGTGGTAGGCKCGGCTGGCCACGGCGAAGATGTGCGGCGGCTGCCCGTCGGTCTGGAGGCGCCGGTACCGCTCGGAGACCTGCGGGGAAGCGGTGGCGGAGAGCCGTGAGCGGCCGGGGGGCGGCGGGRCCGGYGKGGGGCGCGGGGCTCACCTCTCTCCCGTAGAGCGGCAGCGGCTGGAAGGGGTTCATGGCGACGAGGATGTCCCCGATGTCGGTCTGTGGGAGCGGGACAGCCGGTCAGCCGAGCACCCACCGCCGCCCCCCGCCCCTGCCTCCGGCACTCACGTAGATGTGCTGCTGCWGGAAACGCTCCCGCAGCCCGGCCAGCAGCGCCGCCTCATCCAGCTCGGCCAGCGCCGCCAGGTCCCCGGCCACGCCGGGCGGGGGGCGACGCTCTCCCAGGGACACCATCGCCACCGCCCTGCCCTGCCCGGCCCGGCCCGGCCCCGCCGCTCCGCCCTGAGCCCGCCCCAGGCCCGCCCCGGGACCGCCCTGAGCCCGCCTGACGGGGCGGGGCCCGGTTTGAACGCGGGGCGGCGGCGGGACCGGCAGGTAACGGGCGGCGGGGGCGGCGTGAGCGGTGTGGGGCCGGGGGTATTGGTGTTTGTTGGTGTTTGTTGGTGTTTGTTGGTGTTTGTTGATATCTGTTAGTGCTTGGTGGTGTTTGTTGATGTTGATTGGTGCTTGTTTGTGTTCGTTTGTTGGTGTCGGTGTTGTGTCCCGATCTCCACCCTGCAGCAGTGGAATGGTCCTGGGCAGGATAASGCCCTGAGCAGCCCAGCCTGACTTTGGTGGTAGCCCCGTTCTATGCTCAGGGCTCAGCTGGATGACCCCTAAAGATTCATTTGGCTAAGTTAGTCCCTGATTCCACCAAATAGTTCCTGAATACATGCCGCGGTCAGGGAGAAACATTTGGTTAACGTTTAGTTAATATTTTCAGCGTGCTCATGTTCTTTTTTWMYKGRAAWMWTTWWTTWWTTWAAA